GATTTTAAGCTCCTTGAGGACTGGTCTAGAGTAAGACTTATCCTTAGGCTAATTTAGCTCCTCTTCTAAGGTCTCTGGGGTGTCTACTGAGTGTCCCATATATTCTGTGTGTTCCCTTGATACTGGCTGAAGGGAACTCAAATGATTCCTGACCCTTTGTAAACTCTGGGAATTACTTGTTTCACAGCTCCCTGGTACTTGTTTTTTCCCCTCAAATTGTTATTGGCTAGCCTCTCATACTGGCTTACTCCTACACACATACAGATTGACATGCAGCCAAAAACTCAATAGCTCAACCTATGCAGGTTTCTGGAGCTTTTCTCTGGATAGCTTCCCCCTTTCAATCACTCTGCTTCACAAATTCTAGCTGCCTTGATCTCTTGGAATGCTGATCTATGTCTTTAACTCAAGGAGATTGCCAGACTCTGAGTACCCACTCTTTCTGTAGTTGGCTGGAATTACCTCCAGGCAGAAAATCCACATACTGATAAAACTTGTCCCATATGGGTCTCTTATCAGGGATCATAGTCCTGTGCTGGGTGTTGTCTGATATCTGAAAACTGTTGTTCTCCGTATTTTGCCTGGTTTCCTATTTATTAGTGGTAGGAGGGCAATTCCAGACCATCCTGCTCTCTTACAGAGGGAAGCAGAAGTCTCTCCAATGATGTTTTGCTATCATTATAATCATGAATAAATTATTCTTCAAAAAGTCTTATAAGGGGTCTGTTTTTACAAATAGTTTCATACTACAGAACCAATATTCCCAATTACTTCTATAGTAGTTCCAAATTTGTATTTCAGCCATGGGTCCTACAGTTGGACAAGACTGTATTAGGAAAAATCTCCCCTCCTTTTTTTTTTTTTTTACATTTTTTATTGATTTATATTCATTTTACAATGTTGTGTCAAATTCCAGTGTTCAGCACAATTTTTCAGTCATCTCCCCCTCCTTTTTTTGAGAGACATTTAGAAAATAATCTCGGAGACCATTTCCTTCACATATATGACAAAATATGAAACTCTAACTTTGCAAGTTAATATGGATATGACATCCATTTAATAAGTTCACAGAGATGTGGGGGGAGTTTGCAAAATGTCTTAGAGCTGCAAAAGCATTACTACAGCAATATTAGAGATTTAATGTAAATTGGTTATGCAAACAATAGTTTTTCTAAACAGCCTAGGGAGTACTTTATTATGTAAATATAAACATAGATTTAAAATGTTGTAAATTATGAATTATATTTGTAATATAATTTACAATAGATTAATATAGTCATCTTTCCCTTCATATGTCTCCTCTAAACTTTGGCTTTTTAGCCGTAAGCCCCAAAAGAAACCAAAGAACTTTTTCTTGAACAGTTTTTCAAAGAGAGACATGTTACAGTCCTCAATGCTGCCCTTTGTTTTCCAGGTACAAGTTTTCTAGCTCAGACAACTAAGAAACACTGTAGACCATCTTGAGGTCTTACTCAAATGGGGTATTTTTCTACATATTGAGATGAGACAGTGCATGGCTAGAAAAACTGGGGTGGAAAGGTGTAGCTTATGGCTGATTTTGTTTCATTTTATTCAGTTCTTACAAACAGGGGACAGAGCAATTCAAAATGCCTTTTACAGCTCCCCCCCTTTTTCTTTCTTTTCCTTTTAACCAAAGTTAAGGAGACTAGAAGGGGCTGGTTTCTTTTTTCCCACCTCTTGCCTCTAATAAGAGTAGAGACTAATCATAGTCATCAAGAGATCTAGAATCAAAGAAAGACCGGAGACAAACGCTCTTTTACATATGTGAAAATGGAGGCCTAGAGAGCTTAAGTAACTTGGCCAGCTAAAAAAATAACACATGGGACAAGAACTCTGATATCAAGTTAACTAATGATTCATCTATAATCTAGTTTTCAACAGTTCCTGCAGTAGAGGGCTGATTAAATACAGTGTGACGCTTGCCTAGTACGGGACACAGCTGTACAGCTGTTCAAGATGTACAGGTAAGAAGCCTGGAAGAGCAGAGAGGACATTTGACCAGCTGTTTGACCAACTTGGAATAATGGAAGTTACAGCTGGAAAGGACAGTTAGGGCCAAGTCGTGGAGTACAACGTGTATGTGTCTAAGATATTTGGACTTTACTGCTCAAAGAGCTTTAGTGGACAGTAAAAAATTTTAAACGTGGGGGTGACTTGATCACGATTGTTGTTTCTGGTAAGAAAGATCTAAAAGTGGAGGGAGACTGGAGAGGGAACAGCCCGGAGGTACAAGACGGCCATAGGGCAGATGCCTAGGTAAGGTCACCTGCTGGGTGTCGGGGTCTAGAGGTCTGAGAGAGAAAGGTGTCAAGCGTGTCAAGCTTCCCTCAAAGAGCCGGATGTAATGCCATGCCTTTGAAGGCCAGGACTTGGGACTTTCAGTGTAGCGTGCGTGCAGGGTTGGGGATGGGCACTGGGCACTGAATAACATGTTTACATTAGGGCTCTGTGGAAGAAACGCAGAAAAAAAACAAAACAACAAAACTCGGCGGGGAGAACAAAGCAAGCAGTCGAGAACCACCCACCCCAACCCGTAGCCCGTACTGCCCGAATCGAGGGGCTCAGGCCGCCTCCTACAGGTTGTCTCCTTACGCAAATAAACGAGGGCCAGGCGGGCGCCCTAACGCAGGCCCCGCCCCGCCGGCCGCGCGCTTGCGCCTTCCCTTCTGCTGCGCCCCGCCCCTATCCTCCCCCACCCCCACCCCCCGGTCGCCACCGC